TGTTTTTTTTTTTTTTTTTACAAAAGGAGAAACTGAGGCCCAAGGATGTAACCTGATAAAGGCCACGCATCAGGCTGGTGAGACACTGAAGGATCTTAGCCCCTGACTTGTAAACCCCTGCATGTTCCCCTATCCCGAGTTGACCCTTGTGCCATGGTGCCCAGCTGTCCAGCTTCTCCCCGCTCCTTCCTTCATGCCATAGGCTCTAGCTCTTTGCTAAGAGTGCGCTGGGCCCTGGACCTACCTGTTAAAGCTGCAGAAGATGGAGAAGAGCCCCAGGACCATGTTAGCCAGGGACAAGGCATTGGCAACTTTCTTCCAGGAAAATTCATTTATCTTGAGGTGGCTCTGGTTATGGTGCAGGGAGAAACTGCTGCACTGGCCTGGGGCCCAGGAGAGAAGGGTAAGGGGGTTCTAAGGTCAGGGAGACCCATAGTCTCTCCTAGGGACCTGGTACTGCCTGTGCCCATGAACTGCATCTTCCCTACATTGTTTCGTGGCCAACTGGGGAGCAACAGACGGTAGATGAAGGAGAAGCATGAGGTGAACAAATACGTTGAAGACAGAGGGTCTTGGGAAAGCTCAGTAGCAGAGCAGGGTAAACTCACACGGCCATAGTTCCCACTCTCTGACTCATCCCCGACCTGTGGCATAGACATCACCAGTCCTAAGCGTACTTTCCTCGTGCATCCATAACCTGTGTCTGAGATAAGACCTTGTCAAGAGTAAGGGCTGGCTTGAGAGAGAAGTGCAGTCAGGAGGCCCCTTTGATCCACCAGCCAACATTATTCTCTCAGAGACCTAGGGCTGTGGCAGAGGTGCCCCAGGCCCTAGATCTGACAGGTCCCAATCAGGAGAGCAGGTCCTTCTCCACGCGGGGAGAACACAAAAGGTACAATATGCACAGCAATCACTGATTCTCACTATGTCCTCACTTCTGGCCAGGACCACCTCAGGAAATGGTGCTGCCATTCTTCCCCCATCTTATGGATAAGGAATTATCTGAGGTTCAGAGACATGGAAATATTTGCTCAAAGTCACGTTAAGGGAACAGAACAAAATCCCGCATCTTGGTCGTAAATCTGGTACTGGTTCTGCTGGAGATCCCACCCAGAGAAGGTTTGGGGAACAGGTCAGTGAAGGAGCTCAGCCCACCTCTCCTTGCAGGACCAAGCTATGCCCTGCCTCCATGGCCACCCAGACACTCACAGCGTCAGGAAACCAGCCCACCCTCCCCACTTTCACAGCCTGTCTGGTCTCTGTCTTTACTCTACACACGTATATGCCTTACACATAAACTGCTTGTGAGACAGAGGTCCAGTCCTATGTAAGACAGAGAAGCCATGCCGGTTGGGGTAAACACATCAACTACATATAGTAATCCTATAGTAATGCATAAACTGTACATGTTCCAAGGTGTTCTCCTGTCTGTTTTCTCATTTGACGCTCATCCATTTTAGAAGCTCAGGCTGTGTCCCCAGATAACCCCTCTCAACAGTCCCAGGCCCTTCTGGTCTAAGGGAGAGTTAGATAAGTCATCTAAACTTGGGCTTGGGACTGGACTTTCTCAGGGCACCATGGCAGGAATCACTGCTCCCATAGGCAACCTCCTTCACCAAAGGGAATCAACAGCTAGGTGGCCAACGCTATCAGGACTAACTAACAAGACCTTCTTATGCCAGGCCCATCAAAACCTACAACGGAAAACAGTACAGGCTTGGGCAAGCTGGGAGGGAAGAGGGCAAAGCACCAGGTGCATTACCCTCTCCACGAACCTACTACAGCCAACTGTCCTGGGATTCAGGGCTGACCTCAGCAAAGCAGGTAACCTCTGTTCCTGAGCCAGGCATCTCCTCACTTCTGAGAACCCCACCTCCCACCTCGGGAAGTTTCCTGGCACCCTCTGGAGCCTGCAGGTGCTCCTCCTCCGTCAGGTCACATCTCCTGTGCTCACCGTGTAACATCTGGGACTTTGTACTGGCGCTGCCTACCTTGTCTTCCTCCTTTGCTACGGTGGATGCAAGAGCGCAGACCGGGGTCCCCTGTGTCCAGCATGAAGCCTACAATAGAAGACGTCCAATGTTTGTTGAACCCGGGGCTTCATGTATGCTAGGCAAGCACTCTTCCATTGAGCTATATACCCAGTCCTGCACTAAATCTTGTCTACCCGGCTTCTAACCCTGTTCAGTGTGGCCTCCTTGATGAGCTCTCAACAACCCAGCCCTTTCAACACACCCAGCACATTCTTCTGATCTTCTTTGCATTCTTTTTTTCATTTGAGACAAGGTCTCTCATTATGTAGCCCAGGCTGGCCTTCAACTCGCAGCCCTCCTGCCTCAGCTTCCCAAGTGCTAGGATTACAGGTTTTAGTCACCAGGCCCGGCATCTTTCTATTTTTTCTGATGCCTGCTCTGTGACAGGCCTTGAGTGTTTGGAGGACTGAGAGAACAAGATGCAGGTGGCACTCTCAAGAAGCTAGAATCTGAGCCGGGCGTGGTAGCACACACCTGTAACCCCAGCACTTGGGAGTGAGACCCTGTCTCAAAAAACCAAAAAAAAAAAAAAAAAAAAAAAAAAAAAAAGAAGAAGAAGAAGCTAGAATCTGGAAGCAGGAGCAGAGGTTTATAGAGACAGACTTGTGTTGCATAAGTTTGTCCCAGCTGCCAGGAGTGCACTGAGGAAGAAGAGACTAAACCTGGCATGGGGCAGAGGAAAGCCTCACCACTCTGTGTTTGTTTACCAGGGTCTTTGGGATGAGGGGCCTGAGGGCAGTGTTATTGGCAGAGAGTTGCAAGTGCAAAGGTCAGTAAGGAGGATGGCTCCCAGGGGGGCTGGGGGGACTGCAGTGAAGTTGGCAGAGGCCCCAGGTGGTGCCGGTGCAGATGTGGCAGGCAGGCAGTGAGAGGTTAGGGAGGAGTGGAGAGTGGCCTGGGGGACAGGCTGAGGGCTGAAACCCCGCGGTGAGCCCTACAGAGACCAACAGTCCGACAGTGGAGGAGGAAGGAGAGCAAGGAGGAACACCGCCATCAGCAGGCACTGGGTCCTTTGCCAAGTAAAGAGAGTGAGGCAGGGCAGAGTAGGGTCCTATGCTTTCCTACCCAACCTCCCCTTGCCCACCGACTTCCCTAGAGCCCAGGGACCTGGGGGCGGGGGCTGTGGGGTGTGGGGTGGGAACTGTGATGCTCACCTGGGGATGAGACATTCCTGGGAGGGGACGGGGCCACACTCCTTCCCTGCCTGTGTGGTGGTGGGAACCAGCCCAGATGCTGGCTGTCGCTCCAGGGCGGAGCCAGGCTCCACACCCAGCTCTTAGCTCACAATCCTGGGAGCAGGGAGGGGCTGCGGGCCTGCAGCCAGAAGCAACTAACCTCCACTTTCGGGACACCCTAGGGCTCAGGCCACAAAGGGGTGTCAGGGAGGAGGGGTCTGTCGTCTCATCTTGGTGAGGCTGGTAGGATTCGTCCAAGGTGGGCTGTAAAAGGAGGCTGGAGTCCCCTTGTGAAGCGCTGTCGGTGGGCTCCAAGCAGGCAGGTTTTTTGTGTATTTGGTTCACTGCAGTTCCTTGTGCCTGTAAAAATAGCTTAGGCATAGGGTAGTCACTTTTCAAATGGATGCAAAGCCTAGAATTTGGGGTGGGGGATTTAGTACAGTGGCTCTGCACCTGCCTCTCAAGAGCAAGGTCCTGAGTTCGATCCCCAGTACAAAAAAAAAAACAAGAAAAGAAAAACGTCCTGAAGACAAAATCCTTCAAACTGGGATATGACCCGTTTGAGCTGTTTGGGAGAGGGCGTCTGTCAGCACCTGAGCGGAAGCTCTGTGATGCTGTGTGACAGGCAGGAAGACAAGGACCACAGGGGGAGTGTGAAGGGGCCAGTGTGAAGTGGAATGTGAGGGCATAAAGAGGGCTGAGGGAGGAGGTAAGAGCATCCCACAGGTGTCCATACTCGTTAGTGGGATGGACAGCGTGTTGTGGAAAGATTGTCTGGTAGTGGGCAGGACTTCAGGTACTAATTCTGAGGCAGGGTCCCACCCTCTTCTACCCCTCAGATGCCACCCTACGGCTAAAAGCTACAGCAGCAAGAGCCCCACGTCACCACAGTGCAATACACTCAGGGCAGGAATGGAACTAAGAGCTGAAGACACTTTGCAATCTGCAAAGGAAGGGCCTGCAGGACCTGGAACATCCTGCAAGGTTAGCAGGAGGCCGGCCCTGGGCTTAGCTGCTATGACACCATTCTCATCTCACTGGATCTTGGACTGACACTGAGGTTGGTGTCAGCATCCCTTTCCTCAGAAGAAAAGACAGTGTATCAGGTAGTTAATTATTCTGATAATTATGCCATTAATAATTAGTGGGGGCTGGGTGTGGTGGCGCACACCTGTAATCCCAGCACTTGGGAGGCTGAAGCAGGAGGATTGCTGTGAGTTCAAGACCAGCCCGGGCTACACAGTGAGTTCCAGAGCGGTCTGAACTACATAGTAAGACCCTGGCTCAAAAACAAAGCAAAACAAACAAACAAAATATATATATAGTGGGTCTGGGCTGGGGGTGTAGTTCAATGGTAGAGCATTTATCCAACATGCACAAAGCCCTGGGTTCAATTCCCAGGACAAAAGTATACATAAAATAAATAAATCAGGTGCCGGGCATGGTGGCGCACGCCTGTAATCCCAGTACTCGGGAGTCTGAGGCAGGAGGATCGCTGTGAGTTCAAGACCAGCCTGGGCTACATAGTGAGTTCCAGGTCAGTCTCAACTACATAATGAGACCCTGTATCAAAAAACCAAAAATATCAATCAATCAGCAGGGCTGAGATCTAGAAATAGTGTGACACGAATCAGACCTAGGGTATCTAAGAAACTATAACTAAACCCGTGTTAAGCCAACCCCTTTGTGTCATTTAGTACTTATCTCCATTTCTGTGTTACGCTAAACACTACCGCATAACGGTTATGATAGTACCTTTAATTTTAAACCAACTTTACATTCCAGCTCTAACTCCTGACATGTACCCCTGAACAAGTTATATTGTTTATCTGAACCTGTTTCTGAATCTATAAAATAGGATTGTTGTGACCAATTAAATGGGATTATCCAAAGTGTCTAGCACAGAATAGCTCAGTCATCATCGCTCTTCTAAGGGTATGATCATATATCTGAGCCAGGGCATTCTCACAGCTTCTTCAGGAGAGGGAAAGGAAATGGGTAGCTGAGAGAGACCCTGTTCACCCTGCTGTTAAGTTTCATCCTTCCCGTCATTCACAATCCTCCAGAAATAGAGAACAAGAACGATGCAGTCAGGCCACCTACCTTGCACTAATATGGCAGCCACTAGGCCACATGTGACTATGGAGTGCTGGCCACCTGGCTCATCTGAATTCAGATGGGCTCTAAGTGTAAAATACACCCCAGAATTTGAGTTCTTTTAAAAAAAGAGAATATACAATAATTTTAGTATTAGTTGAAATGTCAATATTTTGGATATATTCTCTTAGATACAATATATTATAAAAGTTAATTTCACATATCTCTTTTCACTTTTTGGGGGGGCGTACCTGGGTGAACTTGGGACCCTGTGCTTGCGAGGCAGGTGGCGGCACCACTGAGCTAAATCCCTGGCCCTCTTTTCACTTTTTACATGTGGCTAGTGGGGAGTATTAAATCACACATGTGCTCACATTCTATTCCTTAGCTGCATGCAGTTATTCTTTACAGGATATAAATTCAGAGCTCCAGATGTCCACTGGCTCATCATTGCACTACCTACTATGTGCCAGGCACTACATCATTAGATGCTAGAGATGCAGCAGTATACACATCAGACATGGTTTCTTTTTTTTTTTTTTTTTTGGTTTTTTGACACAGGGTCTCACTATGTAGTTGAGACTGACCTGGAACTCACTATGTAGCCCAGGCTGGTCTGGAACTCACAGCGATCCTCCTGCCTCTCAGCTTCCCGAGGGCTGGTGGTACAGGCGTGCGCCACCACGCCTGGCCAGACATGGTTTCTGTCCTCCTAGAATTTCGACTTAAGTATGGGGGAAAGGAGGAAAACAAGTCACCTCTGGTTATAGTAAGTGCTATGGAAAAGAAAGGATCTGAAGTTATTCTGGGATGAGAAGAGTGGGTATTTCTGACAGGGTAATCGGGGAAGTGATATTTGAGCAAGAACCTAAGTGAGAAGACATAAACCATGCAAAGATCTCAGAGATGATATCCCAAGCAGATGGAACAGCAAATGTAGGTCCTGACACAAGGAGGAACTTGGTATGCAGGAAGGAGGCAAGGCTGATGCAGCAGGAATATGAATACTGAAAGGGGCAGATCGCTTGAAACCTAACAAGAAGCCTGGATTTTATGCTAAGCATAGTGAGAAACTCTTGGGATCTTTCTAAACAGTGTTAAAAGGTGATGCTGACGGTCTCTGTGGAAACAGACTCAAGGCTGGTAGAAACCTAAGTGGGAGACTAGGATTAGTGCCTTAGTCCAGGCTAGAGATGCTGGGTAGCTTTCGCCCAGGGAACAGGAATGGAGGTGCTCAGAAGCAGTCATGTATTCCAAAGGCAGAGTAAAAAAGACCGGTAATTGGTTATGGGAGTGAAACAGGTTTTTGAAGTGAATTCAAGTTTAGTGGTGGACACTTAAATTTGTAATGATTAAAAATAGAAATGTCAAGTAAGGCTCCAGGATAAACAAATGCATGTGAAGTTGGGGGCTGATCAGGTGACATGCACATGAGTCAGCAGCATCTGGATAGGATTTAAAGCCTTAAGAATGGGTTAAACAACCCAGTAGGGAGAAAAAGGAAAGGGCTGAGATCTTGGCCCTAAAGTGTACCAAGAAGAGAATGAGGGGCCCGGGATTTAGCTCAGTGGTTCCACCGCCTGCCTCGCAAGCACAAGGACCCAAGTTCAATCCCTGGTACCAAAAAAAAAAAAGAGAATGAGGAGGCAGCAACTCTTGCTCCTCCACCACTGAGTTTCGACTGCCATCATCTCTTGCCTGGATTAAGGATGGAAGTTAATGGTCTTCCTTCTATCCAACCTCTGGGTTAATCACTAAAATGAGGTTCCTAGAAAGCTAATATACCAATTCCTGCCAGAGAAATTGGTAACTCAGATACAGCGATCAATCTTGAGTTAGCAATAGACAGGTGGACTGTCCTAGCAGTGTGACAGGTTGTCAAGATCTCTGCTCATCAAGCACTGTCCAAGGGAGAGACACATGCAATGTCAGGCACGAGGTCTGTCGTCACTAGAGAAGCGTGCTCTACTATAGGACAGTCTCTAATAAAATTTTCGTGTCCGGGGACCTTCATACTAAAAACAGGCTTTTACACAATAAGCAGTGCATCTCTGGAAAGATGTTTTCCTTAAAAAAATGCTCTTTGCTTTATAACCAGTTCCTTTTTTTTTTTTCCTCATTGAGTTTATTGGTACCTTTTAGGTATACAGTACAGTTACATTCATTATTGGGATCTTGTATATATTCAGTTTCTTAACAAAAATTCAGCATATGAACAGCACCAAGAGCCTCAACAATGCGTATGTTCTAATAATGTTTGGGCTCTGTAAAGCCAAGACCTTGGTAGGCATAAGGGGCTCTGTTGCCTGGGAGACACTGGTATTCATGCCCTTGTGAAATTCCCTCCCTTGTGTGTGGGCTTTCCTAGTGACTTGCTTATAACCAAGAGAACACAACAAAGGTGATGTGATTAACTATATAAGATTCTAACTTCTGTCCTGCTAGCAGACTCACCTTGTCAGCTTTGATGACAGAAGTTGCCATGTTATGGATGTGCATGTGGTAGCCTTCTGCACCTCTTCAAATTCTTAAACTGTGTGAGCTCAGAAGAGACCTTTCCAAGGAGCTGCAGTGACATCTGCCAACTATCAGCTAGGAAAGGAAGGCCCTCCATCCAACAACTCTTGAGGAACTGAAACTCTTAACAACAATACAAGTGATCTTAGAAGCAGATCCCTCCCAGGAAGGCCTTGAGAACCCAGCCTCAGCCAGTAACAACTCCAGTCTTGCAGGACATCACAGAAACCCTGAAGCAGAAGACCCAGCAAAATTGTGCTTGAACTTCTGCCCTACAAAACTATGAAACAGTAAGTACGTGTAGTTTCAAACCGCTGAATTTATGGCAGCATATTTATTTGATAACTGAGCATCTGCTCAAAATGTGTCATTACAATTAAGTCAGAACCTTCTAAAAACCTGAGAAACTTTCTATAGTCAGAATCACCTACGACTCTCTCCTCTCCAGTTCTGCAGCATCGCAGCAAAAGGCGCCTGCAGCTGATTCCACAAGATGTTCCTGTATGAATGGAGTAACCAGTACAGCACGTGTGATCTTGATAGAGTCAAGCCCTTCTCATATGTCAGGCGTAGGGGAGCCATTTACAGCTCACAAAGACTGCAGCTTACAGGGAACGGCCACGGACACCAGGATAGGGGAAGGGTATTACAAGATAGATCAGCATGAGAAACACCCATCCCCAGAAAGGAACTTGGCCAATTCTGGGTTCAAGTACACATCTCTTATTCCTTTTACATATTATAATAGGTAATATGGCACTGAAGGAAACACAGCCATGATGGATGCTATAAATGTAGTTAATTCTGCTGAATGAACAGGATATAAAACATAGTCCTAAAAGAACCCAGACAGAAACAGAATTAGAGTAAATTAGCTCAAAAGCCCCTGTATAGCTCTTGAATTATTCCGGTCAAAAGGACTTTCAGTCTATAATAACTCATAATCAACAGGCTGGTTATTTTCCTTGTTTCTTACTTCCACTACTCTACATTCTCTTGCACAATATCTTACGTTGCCATTTAATGGATCTGACCTGCTTGGGTAGCTGAATTCTCTTTCAGTTGAAGGCTCTCTCCTTCAACAAGGCTACAGAGCAAATTTATGCAGCAGTTTGTGGCAGCCTTCTGTATCTCTTCCAATTCTAAAACTGTGTGAGTTTAGAAGGGACCTTCCCAAGCCCAGCCTCTGTAGCTGCCTTGGATTCTCCAGTCATTCTAACTATGAAAATGGGCAGAAAAGAAAGCCAGACCTCAGCAGTAGCGACACTCCAGAACCACTAAGCACTCTTACGTAACCATTTATAGTCTTTTCTTTTTAATATCCCCACTATCTAACATTCTGGTTACCAGATGATTCTGAAGCTGGAATCGTGAATTAGCTCAACCCTAATCTGAAACAAAACTGAAAACAGGTCCCCTGGAAAATGATCCACCAAGCTTTCTGTAGGAAAAAGAGTTTTCTTTAACATTTTGGCTTAAGAGAAAAACAGCTGGAGATGAAGAAGGAAAGTTGACTGGCCAGTCCTCTGAAACTGACTGGCTGGGTATCAGTGGCCCTGACAGGATTCCAAAAAAGAGTGCTGTGATTCCTTATCATCTTAACTAAAAACAATAACAACAAGATTTACATTCATAGGGCATCATCCCAAGAGTCACCCATGTCCCCTCAGTTCTCATGACCACTTCCACCAAGGCAGAGATAAGGGCAACAAGGAGGTGATGTTCAGGCTTTTAAGAGAGCCTGCTGGTCAGTGGCTCAGTCCCTGGAAGATGGGTTCAGGGCATGGGGGCAGGGCCACTGGCTGGTTTAGCAGCTTGTCCATTATGCTGATTTTAGCTTCTTGCTTCTCAATGTCCTCATATGGAGTCCAGGATAAATCATGCTGTAGTTTGTAGGCACCAAGGAAGTCATGTGGACAACCTGCTCCCCACTCCTAGAGAAGGCAAAGGAGTTCATTCTGATCAGGATACAATGTAAACACACCAACTGTTTTTCCTACCTATGTCATATATTTCTTTCGGCTTTTTGCTTCAGACTAGTCAGAACCATCCTTGGAAGGCAGTCACACTACACAACAGATCCCTCTCAACAGAGAAAATGAATGAACTAATTTAACATGTTCACAAGGGGGCTGTAATTTGTATGTCCCGTTGCTAGATGGCTCTGAACTATGGGTGCCCACTGGGGTGTCAGGGGACAGTCACAAATGTACTACCAGTGGTTCAAGCCTGCAGGAACGTGTTAAAACATACCTACATTTTTTTTAGAGTTATGTCTAGCTTACACCTCCCCCAATTTTCTAGGAAACCATTTAATAATCCACAGGCCTATTTTCATACACATATGCCAAGAATTTCTCATAGGTTGGAGCAGATTTTTGGGGCAAAGAAAAAATGTTCTTACTTTTGGAGAAATAATGGAAAAGTATCGCTGGCCGCTCTCCCGTTGATATAGGTAATAAATATTACCAGGTTTTTTCACCATGTTACAAGCTATGTGGTGCAAGTCAGCATCTCTGTGGGCATCCTCCAGAACCTGTGAACCACAAGGGTGTGACACATAAAGGAATGGAAGTAACAGCCCTCGTACTTGGGGATCATCCCAATGAGAACTTGGAAACTGTTCAATGCTTAGGATCTTGCTCCCTGATAGCAATCAATCATTACTGGGATCCAGATGATTCTGAAGAAATAACAATTAGATGAATGCTACTATGCTGAAAAATGCTTTTAGAAAAATTGTATTTCAAAGTATTGAACATCACTGGCTTTGGGTGACTCTTAAATTTCTTTTTTCTCTATGCTAAGTACATTTCTTTTATGAATGAAAACATTTTATCCCTTAAAAGGTTTTATCTCATTGAACTTTCTCCTGGAAAAACAAATACCCCTCATACTTCCCAGCAAGCTGAGGCAATTAGCAACTTAGCAAAATGTTATCTTAAAATTTTAAAAAATTTAAAAAGGGCTGAAGACATAAGTTTGATTCCCAGTACTGGGGAAAATAAAAACAGAAACTTTTTTTTTAATTTTTTGAGACAGGGTCTCACTATGTAGTTGAAACTGACCTGGAACTCACTATGTAGCCCAGGCTGGTCTCAAACTCACGGCGATCTTCCTGCCTCAGCCTCCCGAGTGCTGGGATTACAGGCATGTGCCACCACGCCCACCTCCAGAAAATTATTCTTAACCTCTACTACAATTTAGATGTTGCTTGTCCCCCAAAGGGTCATGTCCTGGGAGTTTGGAGTCCTATCACCAGCTTGGTGATGTGAGAGCTAAAGGAAGATGTGCAGCCCAGTGGGACGGAGGCCCTTTGCTCACTGAGGGCACTGCCCTTGGGAGGGAACACTGCTCTCCTAGTGGGAGTTCCTGTGACAGGAGAGCCACAGCACGAGAAAGAGCATGTTGTTACAAGAACAGGTCCCTTGCTGGCTTTCTGCACTCAGGTGTGATCTCTCCTCCCACACATGTGCCTGCTGTAACTAGATTCAGAAAGCAGGCTCTCCCCAGAGCTGATCATACCAGCATCATACCCTTGGACCTCTAACACTGTGAGCTAAATAAACCTTTTCTTTATCAAGTTAGCCTGCCTCAGGTATTGCAACACACCAACAAAAGAGACTAATACAACCTCTTAGGTTCATACCTTCCATTTTACTCAAAAACTTTACATTTCTAAGAGGTACTGAAGATAAATAAGCTACAAAGTTGGTAAGCAAGTTTGGCTGATTCTGTCAACTAAATGAAGAAAATGAAAGCCTACCTAGAAGTCTTTCCTTACCTTTCTGGCTTGTTCTTGCAAATATTGGACTTGTTCAGCTATGACTGACAACTTGCTGGTGGCATTTGCTCGGATGAATTCATCAGCCTACAATAATGACAAGACTTCTGTAATGTTCTTATTTAGACCTGCAGTATCTTCCCAGTCTCACTACTGTCATGTAAATTCCTACTCGCTCCAAGGCCCAGGTCAAATAGCAGCATTGAGGAGAAGGCCACGCTAATATGACCTCAGAACTAAGTGCTCCTTCTTGTCTATTTCCCTTACTGTCCACCCTTTTCACTCTGAATTCTAGTCAGACTACACTTGGTTCTCCACCATGCCCTGCTCTCTCTTGCTACCAAACATCTACTACATTTCCCCTTGTTCTCTGCCTGACTAATCCCATACACTTCTCAAGTCTCCCATTGGTTCTCTCATACTGAAACACTTCTAAAATCAAGGATGGGTCTTACAGTGAAAATCAGAAGATACTTGTGATTTGGCTCTTTTTTTTTTGTACTGGGGATCGAACTCTGGTCCTTGTGCTTGCGAGGCCGGTAGCAGAACCACTGAGCTAAATCCCGGGCCTGTGATTTGGCTCTTACTATTCTACTAATGTAGGACTCTTAACACACATTCTCTCCTGTGTACATACAAAATCTAGCAATTACTTTATCTGAATCACTTACATCATAACTACTTAAATTTTAATTTACATTTCTAGTCCTAATTGATACTTTAAATGTTTTGGGGTTTTAAATGTACTGGGGATTGAACTCGAGCCCTTGCACTTGCGAGGCAGGCAGCAGAAACACTGAGCCAAATCCCTGGCCCCTTTAAATGTATTTTAAAAGACTACATATGGCCAGGTGTGGTGGCACACACCTATAATCTCAGCACGAGGGAGGCCGAGGCAGGAGGATCGCTGTGAGTTCAAGACCAGCCTCGACTACATAGTGAGTTCCAGGACAGTCTGAATTACATAGTGAGACCCTATCTCAAAAAACAAAAACAAAAAAAAGAAAAAAGAAACAGAAAAACCCACCTTCAACCCAGAATAATGTATCTTGCAAAACTATCTTTCAAAATTGATGGAGAAATAAGATACTTCCATGACAAAGAACACTTGAAGAAATTCATGACCACCCAACCAGCACTCCAAAGTGTTCTGAAGGATATTCTAGAAAGAGACAAGGATTATAACTCCTTGAACCCCAACAGAATGTATACACCAGGCAAGGAAAAAAATCAAACAAAAAAGGAAAGGAAGCCAGTAACAGGAAAATAACATGGCAGAGATAAGACTATATATATATATATATATATATATCAGTTATAATCATCAATGTTAATGGTCTCAATTCACCAATCCAAAGATACAGACTGGCAGAATGGATCAAGAAGCAAATTTAGGGCTGGGGATTTAGCTCAGTAGTTCCACTGCCTGCCTCACAAACACAATGACCCGAGTTCGATGCTACAAAAAAAAAAAAAAAAGGAAATAAAGCTTTTGTACATAGGAGGGAGAGGGGGCTTGTGGGGAGGGGGAAATGGGAAAAGAGGTGGATGTATCATGTCCAGGTGCAAATTCCCTATGACAAGGGTTATTATATATGCCTAAAATATACCAATAAATGTTTTGCTATTAAAAATAATTAAAGCTCAAGAGAGGCAAACAACCTAAGGTTTTGCAGCTAATAAATGGCAGTTAAAGAATTTCAACAGTTTGGCTTGATTCCAAAACTCATGCCTTAATACCAAGCCTCCCAAGTTTTCTGAACACCCATTAAGTCAAGAGCCAGAGATCAAGTCTGTTAGAAAGTACATTTCAGTACACAGTGTAAATATGCTTGATTCGGTGTTTTTTTCTTCAGCTTCTCAAAGACTAATTATTTTGGAGAAATTGAGGCAGCACAGTAATGAATCCTTTATATTTCACTACATTATAGGAAGAAAATAAAAAATTGTGTTCCGTCTTTCTTTGGCCCTCACCATTATAATAAACATGATGGTCACACAGTAATGTACGAAAATGTTATTTACCCAAAACTTTGTCCCAGGAAGCCTTGCTACCAAGAACACTTATCTTATGAAACAGACACATATCACTCTCTTAATCTGTAAAAGCTGTGCTTTGCTCTCCACCTTTCTAAAAAGTCATAAGGTCTTAGTTAAAAGAATTTGCCTACGTGTTTAAGTTTTTCTAAAATAAAATTAAAAGAGATGTTTATGTGAGGAATTTTGAGCACACTAATTATTAATTTTGAGCAAAACAAAGGCTTTTGAATATAATCAAGGCCAATTCTGACACTGTATACAAGGATAAGAGGATATTTTTTAAAGCAGCAGGATCCTAAATCTATGCATACCGAAGAGGGCTCTATTACTGGAAGTCGTGGTAAAATGTAAGAAAAGACTTGATTTTTCACTTAAGGTGAGGAGCTCTCCTACTTCTAACTGTTCATTTTATAGATAAAACAGCCCAGAGAGAAACTGCCTGAAGCTAATGTCAAATGCGGCACTAAGACTCATGTGTCCAAACGTCCAATGCATTTTGTTTTCATTTCCTCTTCATGTTACCAATTTAGGCAATCAGTGTCTAACCTCTTGTATTAGGAATACTGTGTCTGATCAATGGGGACACAGTACAAAAATGCAGAGTTCTCATCCTCCTAGATGTTTTTTTTTGGGGGGGGGTACCGGGGATCGAACCAGGGTCCTTGTGCTTGCGAGGCAGGCAGTAGAACCACTGAGCTAAATCCCCGGCCCCCTCCTAGATGTTTAAAGTTCTACAAGCTCTCAAGTAATAGATAAAGATCTTCTGAGAAGCAGCTTAAAACGAGTAGTCTATACATTCCGGAAAAATTTTAGAGCGATTTTCACGTGTAATTGCAAACCACTCTGTACTGCCTACCTCACAGGGTTGTCCTAAGGTGCAAAAGAAATAACGCATATTGAAAGTGTTAAGCCAAGTTTTCCGCGAACGTGGACAGCTAATCCCCTCCCCAGCCGCGCCCGCTCACCTTCTGGACCTGCTCTGCGAGCGCCACCAGGTCCAGCGGGT